CAGTCTCGCGCTCCTTGTGAAGAGAAAAGCAGTTGCCGGCGGCCAGCCAGGCGATGGAGTCGTTTCTGTCTAATTCTACAAGTTCTTGTGCTAAAGCGGATAATTGAGCCTCTCTTTGTAGATGCCATAAACAGGTGCTGTATATGTCCATTCCCTCCGTACGGTTCGGATGCTGTTTCCGTATCTCTGCGAACACCTTAGCGGCCATTTCATATTGAGCTAATTCGTAGTGAGCCCGAGCTATCATAGTCTGCACCCAGGGCGACGCTAGCTGTTTGCTCGGTAACTCTTGGAATAATTTTATAGCATATTTACAATCTAAGAACAACAGAGATTTGTAAGCCTCACCCATATCTTTTAATAAATTTAACAAAGCTACGGCATTGGAGTTCTTTGGTGTAATAGTTGGTGTTACTGTCTCTATACTTTTAGGTCTTTCAATGGTTTCCACTGGATTCGCTTTAATATTTTTAGCTGTTCTCTGTTTGCTTTTTCTAGAAGGGCTTTTAGGTGCTACAAATTTTCTACTTGGTGACTTATTATTTTCCTTAACGGAGTAGCTACTATTATTATTGCTGAACAGTCTGGAGGAGCGTCGCGGCGCGGGGCCGAGCGTGCAGCGCGGCGCGGGACTGAACACGGCGTCTTTCAGCTGGCCCATTTGAGCTCGCAGTGAATTAACTATCTTAGGTATAGCTTTTTGCTCATTAGAGTCTGTTAACGTCGGTGTATATAGAACGGGAGATTCATCCATCGGTAGCATACCAAACGATGGTGAGAATGGTATAGGTGCCATTCCGCTGAACACACTGTGCATGCGTTTAACTGGAGCCTGGGGTTCCGGAGTGATGGTTGTGGACATGGTTATAGGTGTTTTAGAAGACACATTATTTGGAGTTACAATAGCATTCACGCTGGTATTATTAGGAATGTTGGTATTAACAAAGGATATATTTTCTGAGTTGCTGACTAGATTCACTAAAGTTGATACACCGAATGAAAAATCGGTGTTACTATGATGGAACACTAGGTGTGGCTCCACTTTCTCGCCCATGTTACATAGTTGTGAAAACGATTTCCACATGAATGGATTTAATGATAGTGCTTTGCGGTGTGCATCTGCTGCTTTGCCTCTTCTCTCTGTCATGATATAAATCTTGGCCAGGAGCTGTAGTGCATATGGGGCTTGTTCACCAAACTCTGAAGCAACATGATCCATATTTGTGCCCAATATGATTTCAGCATCTTTGTACCTGGAACAAATATTTATTCATGCATAAAAAATACTAATATGAGGTTTAACAACTACGATATGTGAGCAAGGTGGCCTTGTTTATTTAAAATGTTCATGAGATTATTTTTTATAGAGATTACAGTGCCAAGAACCTTAACCATAGGTGTAAACTGGAAGCTGATTTCATTTACATAAAAATCTGATGTGTTTAATGAGAAATTCACATAAATCTTATACCAATGGTACAATCTAGTAAAAAGACACACAAGAAGAAGAAGAAATCACAATGGTTCATTCACAGAATCATAAAGCTTTCTTATCTTTTGTACTTTACACTCATATATGGTCAACAATTACAACAATATGCTTTTGTTTACCAATCACAAAAACTGCCAATAAAAAGCTAATTATTTTGCTAACCAATTCAACATTTTATATCTTTGTGAAAGTCTATCTTGTATATATTGAAAATAGTAATAAGGATTAATTTCACATGAATAGCAAAAAGAATAACTTTTATAAATGCTTTTTTAGAAATCCTGTTCTTGTTTGATTAATTAAAAAGTCAAATCTAAGGGTAAATCTATTGAAATAGTAATAATTGACAATATAAAAACAATTAGTGACCTCTTTGTTTTTCACTTAGTGGAAGAACAATACTGCAATGGTATTGTTTTTAAGTTATTTTGATAAATCTTTAATTAAATGGGAACACATGTTAGACAAGCTTTTGCTAGCAATTTTATTTGCTAAAATTTAAAGTTGTTAAGTAGCCTGCATTCTTCCATACAGTGATCATGCATGCATGAACCATTAAGCCATTATGTAAACACATAGTCACAAACATCTATCCAACTAACCTTATAATTTATAATATTAGTAATAGTTAAATTTCACAGAAAAAAGGGCTAATTGGAACTTTATATTGTACATATGTCTCATGACAGAACCATCTATATCCACTTAAATTATTTTATAATTATAGGAGTTGTAATAGAAATTTAACTTACGATTTTAATTCTATGGCGCATTTAGCTAGAAGAAATCTTGATTGTGGCAATGTCAGTGATATATTTTGTAATAAATGATGCGCCTCATTTACACGTCCAGCTCTGTAGTAACAGGTACCCAATAAAAATGCTGTTTCCTCTGATGCAACTGCAATTAAAAATGAAAGTAATCATAAACGCTTAAATCACGAGAGATTATCAAATGTATTGATTAAAAACTAAACACATTTGAGGGTAAGAAAAATGTCTAAATCACCTTCAGAATGTAGTCTCTCAGCCAAAAATATAGCATTGTCGTATTCATAATTGTTGAGACAATCCCAAACGATTACCTGTAGGTGTTAAAAAAATATTTTGAAAATAATTCGATGCAAAAATTTTTAGTGACAGTCATAGGTTTGGTCACGATAACGTTTACCTGAATAGGATCTTGGACAATCATTTTAATAATTAATGTACACTTCTTTTTAATGATAATATTGATAAAACTTCACATCGCTGGCCACCAACTTTACACGGTCACACAGTAAAATAAAAACGTAACTTTTACGACGGACATTTTCATTTCAGTTTGTTGATTGTCTATGGGCGGAGGGATGTTGTTACGAAAGCGATCGTTAATTCGTAAACCCAATAGATTATCAATTTTCTATAGCATTGCTAATTTAATGTACTATATAAAAGAGAAAGTACCGAAATACTTTGCAAAATACAAAATCTAATACAGTAGGTACTACAGTATATTTTTTTAAACTTATCCTAAGATATTTTTTCGATCCTTTCTTCATTTTTTGAATAAATAATTTAATTTTTGATAAAATACCTAGCAACACTTGCATGAAATGGTACCTGGCAAAGAGTAAATATCGAACGTATCGTAGTTTATGGTGTATTTTAGTCGAGTGGAAATCGAAGTTGAGAGAAAAAGTCGAATAAAAAATCATGATAATGTGTTGCTATACTTTTATTTTTACCTCAGCTCAGTATATTACAATCTGTGATTACGAATCGTCACGACCGCAGTGAAAAATATTTTGAGAATAGCTAAAACAAACTATTCGTTTAATATTTAGTGCAGTGTTGGTTGTTGAAGTGTTTATATTCGTTGGGTGGTGAAATATTTTAAAATCTCATACGATCTTCATAATAGAAAGAAAATCGATGAGATTGTGTGTCGTTCATTAGTTCAGACAATATGTGGAGTGTTGATTACGAATGACGTCTGATTGGAAACAAAAGGCCAACGTAGTTAGAATACATTTATAAAGGTCCATAACCAGGTAATTATTATTTATTTTGAAAGTTATTATTACATGGAAACGTGAATTTCGCAAAGGATACCCTTCACTCGTAGTATAGTCTAAACAAGAAAATGTCAAGATGTGTGACCTCCAATGTACGAGTTCCGTTTCAATTTGTTGTACCAATATTCCTTTTAATCTCATTTATTAGTAAAAACATCTGTGCTGAGCTGTATATTGTATGAGCTCTCTGGCAACTTTACTGTCCTACTTATCATCTAGGTGAAATGATATGGTTATTGCACATTTAACAGTTGAAAAAGTGTTAAAAACAATTCAAACTACTAGTAATTTCCAATTGAGTAAGATTTTTTCCTTGTTGAAATATTAAAACTTGGTATAAAACATGGTAACATTTGAATTCCAATTTTAACAAAACAGTATTTTTGTATATCATAAAAGCATGTTATTTTGCAAATATGACTTGTTTACTCTATATTTACATCCCTGGATTCAATCATGTAGCATTTATAAATATATATACATAGTAAAAAAAGTCTTATTTTCATATGGATGACATTATGTCATGAGTTATTATTAAAAAATAATGTAAAAGGCATAAAAACTATGCAAATTTATTAAAATTAAATTGAAATTATATGGTTTTTACAACTTCAATTAGGTAGGACCAAGCTGTTTGAGCACTCTGCTCATTGGTATAGTGGGTTATTCAAGAGAAGTATGCTAAAATTGAATTCCAGGATCGTGCATTACATAAAATGAGAAAATACATAACACAATAACCACACAGAAGATATGTGTGAATTCATAGTATTTCCACATGTCTTCTGACAAGTTCCATATTCTGGTCTTCCCTTTCCTATCAATTATTGACAAAGGACTGGATGTTAAGCTTTTGTTTTGTCCTGTTGCCTGTCTAATAACAGCAACACTTTAGCAAACAGTTTTCTTGTTGCTTATGGTCTAGCCAAATACTACATAAAAAATGTAGTTACTTACATTACAATGCCATGCATCTATGAATTAGTTACTACCACCATAAATATGAAAACAAAAATAGTTATTAATAATTTATTGATATTGAAATGATCATAAACAATTCTTTGTCTTTATTAAAAATCTTATTGTTATGATGTTTACATTGGTAGCTAACATACAACAGAGTGAGGAATTCAATGTTTTGTTTGTGATTGGAATGGCATAACATTAGAATCATTGTTTACTCATGTTAGTCAATTACATATATTTGTCTATGAATTTAAAAGAAATAAAATCAATTGTAATACATTTACCTTGAAATTGATATTTAATTATGTAACCCTTTTGTATTGATATACATTAAATCCTTTATTATTTCACTTTAAAAATGTACACATTTCATGAGAGCCTTACCTCCTGCACTAGGTTCCCCTGTGCAGCATTAACACTATGATTTGTAAACTTTTCTTTGAATATTGAACTTAGTACCATCCTCTTCTACAGATAGTCCTATCGGAAGTTTCTCAGACAAAAAATGAAACAAAATGATATATAATCTTTTTTATTGATAATCTTACCAGTGTTGTATTGCCATATTACCTGCAGAAAAATGTAAATTCTACAAATGTACTTAATTACTTACAACTTTCTCTGTTGTAACACAGTAATTAGTTTGTGGACAAACAGTAATTAGAGATGTACTTTGTGATAAGTTAATGCATTCTTATTATCTAGAATAACAACTTTTCCTATTAAAAATATGAATGAAGACATATTAGATAATTTGTCAACCTACTTTTTTATAGAACATGATAATATAACTAACCTATACTTAACATCTGTTTTTAGTATTACCACATATAAAATAATGTAGATGCCATTTTGTGTAACATGAATAGTGTTTTTCAAAAAGATAAATATAACACCTAACTTAATTTAAGCCATAATCAAACCTTACCCTAAATCATAGTTCATACTAATATTATAAATGTGAAAGTTTAGATGGATGGATGTTTGATGTTTGTTAGTGTTTGTAGCCTAAACTGCTGAACGGTTTTCAATTAAATTTGGCATAGATGTAGAGGGTAGCCTGGAAGAACAAATAGGCTACTTACTTTGTTTTTTAATACCACAGGGACTGAATCGCGGGCGACAGCTAGTTAATCTATAAATAGGAACATTAATTAAAACAAAAGTATTTAAGATTTACATTTCCTGGCAGTAACAAAACTTACACAAATATATAACTTCTGTAAAAATAATATTTCAAATATCAGATGGATATTAAATTACATATGTAGCATCAAATTAATTCAATTTATTAGAGTAAATCTAAGGCACAAGACTATTGATAACAAACACCTTTTTAGTTTTTACTCTTGGATAAAACAATGATGGAATAAGTAATGTGTTTCTGTACATTGATAGACTTAAAACAATTCTTATTGTGACAATAGTTGTAATAAAAAATGTTAAGTCCACTATATAAACTCAATTCTGACAGTTTTAACTGAACATCCAAACTGTTCAGTTAAAACTGAATTTGTATAGTGGGCTTCAATTTGAAGACCAGGATCAGCAGCCCTAATATCATGACTGGTTTTGTAAATGAGGTGTCATAGGAAGATTTTTCTAAAATGAAATGTGTTTTCTTCAGTATGGGTTCAACGGAGACGATCAACGTGACTGCGCAGCCGATCGCTGCGGCGGTGCACGAGATGTTCAAGCCTCTACAACAGCCGGTCTTCCTGCAGACCACCTCTGCGAAAGTAATCACCGGAATCTGCGTTTGGACAGCTTTATTCATCACTTGCCAACAGGTACATATATCTCACTATATCTTGTGGTAATGTCTACTGTCCACATTGGTCAGTCCTTTATTTCAATAGGTACAATCAGCTGCATAAATATGAATTTATTGAAACTTTAAATTTTAAATACTTGTATAAGCCTTTAGTTTTAAAAATATGTGTGTAAATATTAGTCAATAGCGTGATTTTCTGGTCAGGAGTATATGGTTGAATACATGTATACATATTTTTGAAATCAATAGTGTTCAAGTTTCTGAAGCTTTAAACGTAAACACATTTATGCAGTTGACTGTACACATATGTTGGTATTAAATGTTAAAGCAAATAAGTATATATTTAATGTCTATTAACAATAAAAATCAATAATTCATCTTTACTTAGAAATGTATTAAGTATTAGTAAGTAAATGTTTTCTATAAATATCTATTTCGTAATAGCTTATTCTGTTAGCAGAGTGATACGCCCACGTCATCTTTTTAATTTTCTCTACGTAGAGACACCCGTAGGGTTGACACCCTTATTTCTTAACGTAAAGTAATAGTATTGATTTTTTTATATGATTAATTTAAAAAGAAAAACGTTACTCTGTTATAAGAAAGTTGAAGCAGCACATCACGTTATTCGTTGTGTTAGGGTATATTTTTTAAAGATTAATAATACCAGGAAGTAATAGTCTATGTTAATTAAATTCTAAAATCGTATCATTGGTGAGATGACAAGTTAATTTATTCACAGGTCAGTAGGTCTTGTTACCTAAATCCTGTCTATTCCGATTTTATCTTTGCCATCATTAACTGATTAGTTATTTTAGATTCATGGAAAATTAATAAAGTGATTGAAGCTGTTTTTCAAATTACGAAATAAGTAATTACACGATTTTAATGCACAAATTAAACTTCAGTTTTTGTAAATGAAATTCGCATAACACCATTTTGATTACAAATGATATTTTTCATCCTTACCCTTTAAGTGGTTTTTAAGCAAACACACTTTGTAAAGAGTGTAGTGCTCTATCATCAACCACTGAAAGGAGGTAGATAGAAAGGCAAGACTTATAGGCCGTTGGCGATCCCATTCACAAGCTTCGCTTTACACCTCAACCTCATATTTATGTAAAGTACTTGAATATAAGTTAGGTGAAATAATCAGCAGATATCACGAGTAAAATTTAATCCCCAGTTTAGGTCCTGGAGACCTAATTTTAGTCTCCCTTCCCACCATTTTCATATACGGAAAGGATGGGGAGGAAAAGCGTTTGCAGGTGGAAAAGACGCATAGGAAGCAAGGGGTAATATCTTCTTTATGTGCGTCTGCTTCGTTGATTAAGTGTAGGCAACGCATATGCAATTGCGGATGTATATGGGCAGCGATCACTTCGCTTTCTCGGCGAATTCAGGTGGCCTCTCGCGCGTTTGCCACCTTTTAATATAAAAAAGTAAAAACCGTTTCTGCAAATTGTTAAGATTCTAGAATAAATACTCATACGAATTTAAATCTCTATAAAGCCATATTATTATCAGTGCGTAAATATAGAACGGAATATACGAGTAGCTCACGTTGGCTGTGTTGTGATAAGAGTTTTGTTTCCTTCACGAAGTTATAAAGCCGATATTAAATTGCTTATAGCTGTGGCACGAATTTATTTTTATTTATAGTATTCTACACTGAATAATAAAGTTTTTAAATAAATGGTTCATTGGGGTTAAATCCTCTTGTATGATTGTCGATATCCACTGGCATGTATAATTTTTTTTAATAAAGGATCTCTTTAGGGTGATTTGCAAACCTTGCTGGAAATACATACCCACTGTAAAAGACTTTATTCCGGTATAGATCTATAAATGTTGTACAAATACATCTGTTTAATATTGCAATAATTATTCCCACGTTTGATGCAATTAAAACATGTATTGTGTTAGTCAGTTTATGTCAAGAATAGGTAAATATGTGTTATTTTTAAAATCAACTAACGGCTATTTCCTGTTATACCTAATATTTTAAAACGAACACTGCCTTTTCTGTAATTAGTCTTAGTGAATTTAATTAACACGTTAAATGCTTCTACATTTACATATTAAAGTGCCGATGGCATTTGACGTGTTAACGCTTATTTTCCTCTAAATCGAAACAAATGATGAACACATGTTTAATATTTAAATGTTCCTGATGTAAGAGCTGTATATTTAGGTCGTCTAATTATGAATCCCCAGTTACCAGTGCACGTTATTTTGGTTAATTTATTACATTGAGTTTACAGTGTTACATAGTAGAAGCCTGTTTTACGCTACGCTATATTGATACATGTACATAACTAGGTTCACACTGACGAAATATACGTCTAAATATATATTGTCATCTCATTTAAAAATGGAGATAACAGTACGTTTTTATGCAGCGTTTCAGCAGTGGAAACTCACGTTAAATATTTTAACGCAACATTTTTAACGATTCCTAATGTGCCCAAACTAGTTTTCAAAGTATCTGCAACTTATCAAGGCTGGACAGAATGCTAAATTTCGCAAGCATTCGGAATTAATATATCTATACAGCAGCCAGCAGTTGTTAAGAATTTGTGATAAAAATAAGCTCTTACGGTCGTTTTACCAATCTATGTAATAAGGACATGAATTCGGCCGTGCCCATATTGCTTTTACGAAATTAATACGTACATATAAAGTTATTAATGAATTTAACCTATAGTATGTAAAAAACTATGTATTGAGGCAAATATAGCCAGTCCAAAGTATAGAATCACTTCGCTTTATATCAATTTTTTTACGAAATAACTAAAAACAGTAAAATATTGGATCCCATCTATCAAATTTGACGGTCTTTATGTATTTTTTATACTAGAATTTTTCATTAAAGTGATTAAAATGTGCGCTGTAGAGGTAGGACATTCGGTTTTAATTATGTACACTTGCCCTACCTGGCTTAGTTAAGTATCAGACGACAAGAACACTAGAAGGACTTCTTGCATATTATCTGGCTCGTATTACCGTCTCGTCGAACAAAAAATTACGACATGCGATTTTTAAAGATTTGGTTACTTTTGATAAAAAGACAAATGTTATTTGATACGATGTTAGATTAATTAATGACAAAATTGGATGAAAAATAACTTTTCTTTTAGATATTATTTTAAAATAGATACAAGATTTAGGGCCAGTCTCACTACTGGCTGATAGAGGTTCAGATAGCTTAAAAATGACATCACTGTCAGATAACGGAACAAAATCGGATAACTCCATCACATATTTTACACGTTGGATTCAGACAATTTACAGTTTGGTGGGACAAGCCCTTAATTAGGGTTAAAGGTTACAGTTACAGGTCGTTAATCAATTAGTACTTTTTCGCTACTTCTTTTGTCTTTTATCCGAAATTGCTACATTAAAATATAGTATTATGTAAATTAATAGAATGTTCGCGTATTCTAGATTACGTGAACTATGCGCTTCGCTTTCGTGCGCTGTCGACATAGCTGTCCATATTTAACTTAACACGTTCCATGCTATTACGATTTTACTATGTGTTTTTGTACGTTGGATACTATTTACTCATTTTAATTGGACTTGTTAAGCGAATCGGCGGCAGTGAACGTGTTCCCTAATGAAAACCCAAAGCCTACTGCAGACGCAGGTTTATAGCTATGTTTAGGTACCGTGTTTTATGGCAGAATGAGGAAACTAGAAAATAGGTCGCAAAACATCTGGTAGTATACTAAGGCGAAAAGCATAGCTGGATTTTGACGATAGGATTATTTATATCTTGATCATATAAAACTTATTTCTGTTAACTGTGTTTTGAACGTATTATTTATATTCGTTATAGCTTTAGCTGTGTTTTTAATTCAGTCAAGTTTTTAAATATTTTTAATATTACAACAGAGTCTGACATTTACTTACCTGAATGTAACATTTATTTTTTGTTTACATTTATCTTACAAAACTTGTTTTAATTATCTCTATGCATAATCAATATTTATGAATCATTACCACATTATCGGCGTATCGGATATTGATAATGTACTCCTAAACGCGAATTTAATCTATATGAACCAAATCATAGTTTTAAAACTTAGCACTTAACGGAAAAAAAATTGCTCGATATACTGAGACACAAACGTATTCAAAAAATTCGAATCTTTTAAAACCATAAATAGTCAATTGTTATACAACCATCAGAAGACTTTTTTACCTTGTGGGGTTTTTATGTGATTACCATTTTATGTGGGGGTTTGACTCAATAAAACCACCTCGGTGGCCTCTAGTGCAATAGGAAAGGATTACGGGATCTCCCAACTCACCAAAAGACCTAGGATGCCTATCCTAGCTCACGTTTGTGTGTTAAGAAATTCATTAAAATATAACATAAAGGACGTGGGCCTTGCGCAGTCGTGGCTTCAGTGATAATACAAGTTTGATAAAATCGATTGGAATTTACCATTAAAGCGAATATAGAGCTGTTGAAATTGCAACGAAGGTGTTTTCTAAAATGTTCCTTGTTCCTTTAGCAAATACTGAAATATAGTTGTTACAAGTTAAAATTGGTTTTATGATTATATGTGGCAGTTTCAAACAACATTAGTTATATTAAATTGATAACGACATGTTTTCCTTCTATTGCATGAGTTGGACAAGGATACTTCCTGTAATGAACAAATGAAAACCAAAAGCTTAATTTGGCAAAATTATGTGTAATTTAATAAAAAATGTTTAATTTTAAAAGTTTTGTAACAGTTCAATAAGCTCTTAGAGATTTAAATTGCTCATGGGGAAAATTCACTGTGACCGCAATATTTTCAACTTTCTTCTAATAGCCATAACAGCGGTTAGGGTGACAATAGATTTTTATATTTTATTAGGACATACACTTACACACACATGTCATTTCAATTCTTATTCGTCAAAAATTTTTTTATTAAAATTATTTATTTAAAACATGCAATACGCATATGACACACCATTCGTTATTGACTAACTGGATTTTCCGAATACGATTCATGGGCTAATTGAATACCTTGGCTCAATTAGTGTGCGGGATAAATACGATGTACGGAACTAGGCTAAAACACTCGGGCGAGATATGCCTTGAATACAAGCATTCATATGTGGAATGTCTATTACGCATAACTGCAGATTTACTATACATGTAACTTATGTAGTACATAAATAACATGTAAATTACGTTTTAAATTACTGTATTTATGTCATTTTCAGTGTTAATTGACAAAATTTAACTTAAATGAGTTTTATCATCATGAATCATTTTTAATATGTCGTTGACGTGTAAATCATCGACCAGTTTTTTAATTTTTCCCGATTAGGGAAACATGATTTGTTTCTATTGTAATATGTAAACGTGGAATTCCATTGTCGTAATACTAGTATGAAATAATATTGTTTCATAGGAAATGACAGGGATGATTTCAATTGAAAGAAAAAACAGTGAAAAGTGTGAATGTGTAAATCACAATATTGCATCAAAATGAAATGTATTACCTTTTAATAATTGGATGAGTTGAAGTTTAGTTCAAAATACTGGTAATCGTTTGAGTCATGTTATGAGCAAGCTAATGTAACCAGTTTTAAGGACAAATGTTGGACGCCACTGACATTCAAACACGTAAACATCTTGTGGGAATTTATACGTCTTAAGTTTGCATTGTAATAATATAATGTGGGACAAATTAAATAAAATTGTTTAATGCTCTTAATGCAATAATGTTCCTAATGTTACAAATGCAAAAGTTTAGATGGAAAGATGATTGTTAGATTTTGCCGCGTAACTGTATAAACGGATTGCGATGAAATTTGGCATACACGTAGAACATAGTCTGGAATAACACAGGCACATACTTGAAAAAAGATATGTTTTACACGTTTCGATAGCAGAAGCCCACGCTTATACGTTTTGCTTCTGCGTAATTGTGCGAATAATTCATTGTAGTTACTTTCACTCAGGGTTTCGTGTGAAGCAAGCAGCTGTCGATGAACATTTAATATTTGTTCAAATGTTTCCAGATCTACGTAAATGTCTGTCCATTTGACCTTGTTGAATGACGTCATTTTCCAGTGCAGCTTTACAACTAGTATTATTTTGGTGTTCATGCTATTAAAATGTCTGGTATACAATTGAATTGCTGTACGAGGAAATTGTCATCAAGTAGACGTTTTTCTTAATCCATTCTTTTCGAAAAGCTCAAAATATTGCTGTCTCTCAAGTTGTAATCACAAAGGCAAATAGATTCTTGTTTGATGTAGTTTATTGATATTATTTATTCCGTGAGGTGTGGACTGTAACAAGGAGTGACAGTGGTCAATAACTGTTTTATAACCCGAAGTTGTTGCGTAGCTTCCGCACAAATATACACTTTGGGTAAACGTTTACGAGCAAGGCCGTCCTCGTAACGTTTGTAGAGCATTTTATGTGTTTTTTTGCAAAATTAATTCTGTCCCCATATCTAGGTCGAATAAAACATTTTCAAAGAAAAATGTTGGACATGCACAGTTTTTGTACGAATTTTAAATAGTAATGTTACAAATATTGCTTTACTAAACGTAATTTTATAAAGACAGGTGAAAGAGATGCGAAAAAACCAGTTAGTCTAGTACATTATGTTATACTTTCTGATAACTTAAACGTTTCCGTTTTATATAACTAAGTTATTAAGTAATGACTATATAGCTTCAGTCGGCTTCCCCGAACAGGCCTTGACCTGGGTTACTCTGTTAATATCAGGCTAAACTTGGCTCTAGGCCACTTAAATCCCAGCCTCCACTTTCAAGGTCAAAGTTCATTCTAGACAAGGATATTTGTTTAGATGTTTTCTAATAATATTTGCTGTGACTTTGTATATGAGGCCATCATCCTCATTTACCATACACCGATTTTAATCTATAAAACTGGACAGAAAGAATATCTATAAGTTTATAAGTTGTGGAAACAGGGACAGGCAAATTTGACAAACTAATTCATTTGTTAAAGAATTTAATTACTCTATCATCCAGCTGTGTTCCGTTTACTAACGTAATGTTTTCTATCCATTGCAGATTTACCAACACTTGCGCTGGTACACGAACCCGTCGGAGCAGCGTTGGATCGTGCGTATCCTGTTCATCGTGCCGATCTACGGTTGCTACAGCTGGATCTCACTGCTCTTCTTTAACGGAGATTCTTACTATGTCTACTTCTTTACTGTCAGAGATTGCTATGAAGGTAAACAATATATCCACATTTTTACAGTAACACACATATCTTCTTTGAGTAACAGTTTTAATTAGAGGTGTTTAATAGCGCCTATAATTTTCACGTTCGTTTATTTTTAGCATATTGCTAGGAGACGTGTAATGTCCTGATGTTAATAATCCGGTTACACTGGTTCAAGACATTTATGTGATTAAGATTTCTCGATGGTTCCACTCATTTACATTTTTTATCATATCTCCGAGATGTAAGTGAAAATTTTAGCATAATGTAATGCGATACGTTTAATAAGTGCGTTGTTTCTAAGATTGTAAATATAAATGTATTGTTTTTAATATGAAATAATTAATTATCACCCTAATGAGAATAACCGTCAGGTTTTAAGGCCACAATAGAATATGTCGCTACGTAATGTTTTATTGTAAGAAAAGGTATCATTTATCATAAGAACCTACTGTTTGTGGATCTGCTTAATTAAATTTATGAGGATGAATAATTTAATGGTTTAAATTACTTTGCACAGATATTGTGTAGTATAAAAATAATGAGATATTATTATTAAAAAAAATATTTGTAATACAGAAAAGTCCTATACTAAATTAGTACTTAACTAGATCGATGTTGAAACGCCGTACCTCGACTTACGAAATATAAAACCACAGCAGTGTAAAAGTTAAAACGGCACGGATTTTTATTACTTTGCCCATTTGCTTTGAAATGAAAATATAACGATAAAATTTAAGTTAAAAGCAACCCCTCATTAACTCCAATTTTATCTTTGAGTTACTTAATTTATGTTTATTTTCAACGTTTTAAGTTCCGGTTTAGTTTAACTTATACTAATATTATAAAGAGTTAAGATTTGTAGTTTTGTATTTATTGTAATAACTCAAAAAGTACTGGACCGATTTCAAAAATTCTTTAACCATTAGAAAGGTAATTTATCTGTGAGTAAAATGGCTATATCTTTTTATTAATTTTTAATTTTACGGAGACGCGAGCAACAGCTAGTTTTATTATAATTGAGTTAACATACTTAGCCATGTATAATTTAAAACATTAGATGAAAATGTCTATGTAAGCCGAGATTTCAGCCATTGTGCCCCGCTCCAGCCGTCTCGTCGCAACTTATGTTTGGTCTAAGATATAACTAGATAATAACAGTGGTAGTGCCCGCTTTAACATCTTAGCAC